GCAATCTCACAAATTACACTTACATGGAAAATACAAAACCTTGGTTTGCTCGATTTGGTGCTTGTGTTTACATTTCATCTCACTTCGAAAGGATTGACTGGTCGTCCTGTTCATGCCGTGTATGACGGGCTAAAAGGCTCGCGAGGACTGATGATAATTTGGGAAATTCGAAAACCAGTAATATTGTAGACTTCGAATGATGGCTTCGTTCTTTTCGTTGTACCCTTCTACTGCATCGGCTTCTTTTGCACATTACTATTCTCTCGGGTCTCACTGCCGAGGTGGCTACTCCAAGATCATGTCGCTATTATGAACCAGGACAGGGACCACAAGTAGGTCTGTGTGACTTTCATTACAGATATCATCAGTATGCTTCTTTTTCTCTCAGAATTATATAAACCGCATATGCATGTCTTCTTTACAAACCTCACTGGTGCCCTACACCTTCTCTGAACTACCTTTGTCAATTGCACCATGACCTCTGCTGATTGTTCGTCTGTCTTCCATGGGGATTGCACAAGCATCGTTGTCCACGACCGGAATTCCCAGTCACACACTTGCAAAGAGTCTTGTCCTGTTGAAGAGAAAACGGAGACGGACGGTGGTAGCAGTGGTCATGCCAGATATATTGGCTCTGGCATGCATGAAGACCCTTACATTGTTGTCTGGGACGAAGAGGATCCAGAAAATCCATACAACTGGTCAAAGACGCGCAAGTGGATCATCACTATGCAGGTATGTCATCGGTGGAAAACCTTTATATTCCTCACAACATTCTCACGTTGTATTCAACGTTCACTATCATCAGTTGGCGTTGACCACTTTCACGGTGTCTTTCAGCAGTAGTTCGTACAGTGGCGGCTTGGAATACATCGTTCGCGACTTAAATGTATCGGATGAGTTAGCCGTATTGGGTATATCTTTATACGTGTTGGGATTCGCAGTTGGGTATGTGGTCAAAAAATATTTCGAGCAGATCACGCGCGAATCAATGTTACAGGCCACTTTTATTCGCACCAATGGGAGAGGTTCGTACGATTAGCGTTGGTTTTAGAGCGTGTCAATTAACGCTGTTTTTGGTCCCTCGCAGATGTACGGTCGGGTAAGCAACGATCACCGTTTCCCAGTGCTGCTGAAACTGAGCCAGTGACCGTTATCGTTTCTTTAGCGTATAGTGTTCTTGATCACTGTCGGGTTGTATACTCCTCTGCATATCGGGGGAGCTTTTGCTAGGAACATAACTACCGTCCTTATCGTGAGGTTACTCAGTGGTATCTTTGGTGCTTCTCGTGAGTTTTATATTCAGGCATGTGGTATACTCAGTCATCCTTCGGGTACAGCTTTGACCAATGCAGGAGGAGCAGTAGCTGATATATTTAATCCTCGTGAGAGGGGCCTTGCGTCTGCAATTTATGCTGCAGTACCATTCCTTGGTCCAGGTTGGCTAATCTGGTGTCTCAAGTTTCAAATGCTGTAATTTTAACTTTTCGATCTCTCCATTCCTTCAGTGATTGGTCCCATCGTTGGTGGCTTTGTAGCAGACTCTAGTCTCGGATGGCATTTCAATTTCTGGTTGATGTTACTCTTGGGTGCCATAAGCTTGATAATGGGGTATTTTCTGGCGCCAGAAACGGTATGTCTTGTTATAAATAGCGGACAACTCCTCATATTCTTATTTCTTCGTCGCAGTACGCGCCGGTTCTCTTACGAAGGCGTGCCAAACACCTCATGCAACTTTCGAATGGAACGATCTCTTACAAATCTAAATATGACATAGGTCGTTCAACATCCTTCATGAAAATAATGAGAGTTAATCTGAGCAGACCATTTGGTTAGTGGTCGAGGCCCCTACATTATTTTATGGCTGACTCTCACGGTAGTTTTCATGCTCACCGAACCGATTGTTTTACTGTTTGCAATCTATATTTCTGTCGTCTACGGCACATTGTATGCTTTGTTCTCAGCTTTCCCTATCGTGTTCGAAACACGAAGAGGATGGTCTGCTGGTGTAGGGGGGCTTGCTTTCCTCGGAGTTGGGGCAGGCATATCCGTAGGGACGGCCACTGCTTCTATCCAGAATACCATCTATCAAAAAGCGATGGATAACAGTTCCACTGGAAGAGCGCCCCCCGAAGCGTAAGCATTTTATAGTATCCAGCAGCAAGAATCAACTCACTTAGTAGTGTTTCAGTCGACTGCACATGGCAATGATGGGAGGTGAGTTGCAACATTTTCTGTACAACCCCTTCTAACGAAGGATCCTATTCGCAGGTATTCTCGTGCCTATAGGTCTCTTTTGGTTCGCATGGTATGTTATCGATATACGTGTTGCTTATAGATCCCATCCCTCAAGATTAATCGCCAGGACCGCGGATCCGCCCGTGCATTGGATCGTGCCTATCATAGCAGGCTTTCCATTCGGGCAGGGTGTCTGTCAAATTCTTCAGAGTTCGACTGCTTACTTGATGGACGCATACGAAATTTATTTCGCGAGCGCTATCGCTGCTACCATTGTTCTGCGATCTATTTTCGCAGCTGTTTTTCCGGTCATAGCACCTACAATGTTCGAAAACTTGGGAGATGCGTGGGGTATGAGCATCTTCGCGTTCTTAGGCTTGGCTTGCACTCCTATTCCGTTCTTATTTTGGGTTAGTTTTCTCGACCTGACGAACAATCACGAGTCACATGCTGATAGATTTCATCAAGAAACACGGCAAAGCAATTCGCAGCAAATCAAAATATGCCTTTAAAGAATCTGACGATACATCATGAACCTTCTTTCATTTACAGTTGGACATTTCCGAATTTTCTAAAAATAATATGTGTACGATTTTTTACTGTAAGAAAACAGTTCTCATACCCCACGGCTGGTAGTGTACTTAATCAGTCTTATTTACTGTATTATTCAGTTATTAGCTTTCGAAAACGTGCTGGTGCTCAGAATAAAGTGAAGAAGCCATATTCACTCCGTCTTCGTAAAAGTAGATAGATGTACGCAAATGCAATTTTGGATGTCGGGTCCGAAGTCAGCGACATGCTCGGAAGAGCTTGCGCACGAACGAGTCGGAATACTGTCACAACCCAGCTCTATCCCTCCCACTTCCTTTTAGCGCGATGGTTACGGTTCTACAAAGGATCCGCATCATCAAAGTTTCCACGCCGTTGCGATGAATGCTGTCGGAAGCCATCAGCGTTTCGAGAATAACGGGTAGACCGGCCTTCTCCAACTCGATATTGACTGCGGCTAGCAGTTGTTGCATATGATGGGGGATCCGTACTTGTTGCCGTGTCCGATGTTTCCCAAGTGTTGTACGCAGTTGGGTAGCCCGTCAGTGAAGCAGGATGTTGAATGGTATGGTCGACGAGTTCATCCTGGGCCGCCGTTTGGGGCATGTTCGGACCAGTTGAGGGGATAGCAACACGCATAAAGTCCCAAGCAGCGCGAGCGGTACCCATTCCCCACGCCTCAGTCGCTTGTCGTTCAATTTCTGCTATGACATTGGACCGAACGCTTTTTACTCGGTAACCCTCATTGGGGTTTGGGAGGGGGAATCTGGAAAATGATATCAGATTCACAGTTTCGGAAGGCTTGAGCACTAAGATGCTTGCCTTCCCCCAAGATGATTCAGTACAAGTTTCTGAGCGCCGATGGTTCTAGCGAACGCTCCGGCCATCTCGGGTAACGAATGTCCTCTAGCCAGAGCCTTTTCTTTCACCACGTCATATGATCTTCTAGATTTCGGATCAATTTCTTGAGGAATGTGTGCGTCTGCAGCTTCGTGAATTAGAAGCGACGGAGAGGGATCTACGCATAAAGGTGTTATCGCGGATGGATCACAGGTGTCTCCGAGTATAACTATTTTGCGAAAAGGTTTAGCGGTCTCCCTGAAAACATAACCAATGCATGGATCTAAATTAAAATAGTCGAGTGTGAGGAAAGAATATCAATGGTAGCAGGATTCCATCACACCTCGGTGTATAATAGGTCCTGCATCAACCACTACTGGTCCAAAGATACCTTTACCTTGAGCTACCTCTCTCCACAATCCGTCTCCAGCAGAACAAAAGATATCCTCTCCTGCAACCTCGTTCGGGTGCATAACTTTCGGATCGCAAGATGTCGCTTGGTCTGCGGACGCCAGAAGTTCATGAACAACGTAATTGTCGGACATTCTGGTGAAGGTCATTTTGAGTATACTTCGAATAAATGTCCGTATTCCAGCTGGCCCATAAATCTCTATGGCTGGATGCTGTGCTGTATATAAGTTTAATCTAGATGGAACCATAAGAACACTCGAGACTCGCAGTTTTTCGAAGGGCCTGTAGCTTATCGGCGTTTTCGCCCACTGGTACAGGAAACAGGAGATTCCGGAGGATAGGAACTATTCTATCGCGATGGACATTGAATATTGAATACGAATAGACTTGCAGTTTGAGACAATCCCTACCCCATAACATGGTCGACTGTATTCTCGTGATATAAGTATTATAATACGCACGGAAGGTCATCGAGAGAAGTTCACCATGCATATGCGTTATGAATATCTTTTTGACTTGTGACAATCGGGGATTGGAACGATCTGCACTGTATGGCTGTAGCTGGAACTGACGAAGAGTCCCTTCCGCACAATCAACCACTGGAGGCAGAAATTAGCAGTGAAATCCTCATGGATTGGATATGCGCATACTCCAAAGGGAGCCGTCGCCTAAAACATCAGCAACGAGAGATGAACAGTTGCGGGATGTACTAGGGCCTCCACCACTCGAAGTTCCGAGAAAAGTCACAGTCATTGTACTGGTCAACATATCTTTCGGGATGTATATTGCTGAGCGGAAAGTCGAAGAACAGCGCGTAGAAGACGGGCAACGAAATAGTCTTGTGGCAATTCTGGCGAGGTTCATCTGTTTCGAGGTGGGAAACCTTCTGACAGTGAGAAGCATATTTTGGAACGTTAGTTAGACTTTCCAAATATACACCCATTATGAAGAACAGTTCTAGGGGTAGCGTGGCCGAGTGGTCTAAGGCGTTGGATTTAAGCAGTCATTGCGTAGATTCCCAATGGAGGAAACTCCGCGCGAGTTCGAACCTCGCCGCTACCATGAAGAACGAGGAGAGAGCTTCCATTTTACTTCTAGTTCTTTATTCTTGGTCCATCCAGTTTGCATAAAAGTATGTAAGCTTCTCATTTTTCATGCCCAATGTGAACTCGAGTCTTAAATTATCGTACAACCAAAACTCAATGTTCTGAAGTATGTACATATGTAGAAAATGACCTTTCCGTGATTCAGTTATCAAAAGATCTTTGGAACAGCCTGCGTCAGTGAACATCGAAGATTGATTCACGATGGCTGGTCTTACACCTGAAATGCTATCTTGTCCACCTGGTCCTTGACGAACTCTGGAGGATGAAAGAATATGAGGAAAGGAATCGTAAACACAACTTGACATACCGTCGAGTTGGTTTGAATTCCTCTTGTTCGTTTGAATTCCAAAAGTTCGAAAGTGAGCTATTTCCACCAGGGACAGTCCTCACACGCCTGGGAGAGTTAAGCCAGAAGCGACATAGAGAGGATCATCGTCACGTACCTACTAGGTTTCACTTGGGAAGTGAAGTTGATTCCTGAGTGTTCATCTTCATCCTCCTGCACATCTTCTTGAGCTACCGAAGAACTGGCAGGCATTTCACTTTTCTGAATGTGGATGAGGAAGCGGAAAGAACAAAGTCAAAAAAGGATATACACTGGTAATTTCTTTGGGGGGAGCTTGAGACAAAGCATCATCTTCGTTGCTGCTGAATATGTCGGTGTGACCCCCGCCAGGGGTTTGGCGCACGCGACGAGAAGGCTTAAACGCTTCTGAGGCAGTCGCAGAACTCGTAGACGCTGTAAAAAAGTCTTATGACAACGATATCTTGGAAGCAGAGAAAACTCACAAGTAATAGATGCGACGGATTCAGAAGGGTCCATTGCAGAGGATATCTTGCCAAATTTTGCCCATTCTATGTCACAGAATATAATAACCCTTCACGCGCAGCAACTGACCTGGACGTACTGGGAAGTTTTTGAATGTTTCCAAAGTTAGTGTCCACCGTGGTTCCAGTGTACCTGGGAGTTGAATGGTTCATGGTTTGGCATGTCGAATTAAAGAGCTTCGTACTTTAGGAATTCGATCAGAGAGCGCTTCGTAAACACGATGCTTGTAGCATCCCAGTCAAGCATGCCTGGAAATAGTGAAAAATTGTACTGTATGGAGATGTATGAATTGCCATACCAAGCGCGGCTGACCACTCTTTCTCTTTGGACATATCGATAACATCAGAAGGCGTATATCTGGGCAATGAGGTTTGTGAGAGAAGGCAATGGAAGGGACTGAGAGCACGGACGTGGCAGACATTATGGTAGTTGCTGAAAGAGCGTAGTCAAGGGCGAAAGTGGCACTGTGGCAAACAGATTACCCTTGTGATCGCGCATCATCATCAGATTCATGTTGTCCTCTTTCACGGGTATTCAGCGCTTTCCCAGGTGCATAAACCGTCGTCTCTTAGCCTCATTTGCCTATACGAAACCTTCATTGGCAAATGATCCTGCAACTCACTCAACTCCGCTCGATATCACAGATGAACAGCGGGCAGCATTGGACTCGGCTCTTCGTGTTGATCAAGCAGGAGAGGTTGCCGCTAACTGGATTTATTATGGCCAGCATTTCATCCTCGGAAAACAGCCTGTGACAGGACCTTTGATTCAGGTTTGTATCACATCTACTTAACGTTTGGTATGTCTTCATAACAATATCTCCAGGAAATGTGGGAACAAGAGAAGAAACATCTCGCAGTTATGGACAAGATGCAGCTTCAACACCGCGTCCGTCCGACTATTCTCATGGACTTCGCAAAGATTGGTGGCTTTGGACTAGGTGCTGCGACCGCTCTTATGGGCAAAGAAGCTGCAATGGCTTGTACGGAAGCTGTCGAGACCGTTATTGGAGAGCACTACGACGAGTAAGAAGAACGAGCCAAGTACTCGATATTTTGGCTAATGTGTCATATCTCAGCCAACTAAAAGAAATGGAGTCATTGCCATCCGCTCATCCAAGCGTTCCGTTGTTAAAGGAAGTGGTGAAGGAATTCAGAGACGACGAATTGGAGCATTTGGATATTGCAGTGGTTAACCATGCACAGAGAGCTCCGGGACACGCGTTACTTAGTACTGTCATTGGCGCAGGATGTAAAGTAGCGATAGAGTTGTGCAAAAGATTCTAATGTACACAACCGCAATAATTTGATTCATTCCGGTTTGCCTGCTAAAGGTTGACCTTTGAGCTTCGCGTTCCAAGACCACCGGGACTGTAAGGATGGACGTTAGAGCAGATCGACCAGTTGTTTGAATTGCAGACGCACAGTAGTATAGTTGACTGCAGTATACAGGACAGTTGGAAAGACAACCATACCGAGAATAGCCGCCTTGACGTTAGCAGGAATCCATCGGAAACGAAGATAATGTTGCTCGCGCTATAACAAGTCAGTACTTGGGGGCGCTCTTGTGGACAAAGTACAGACCCATAAGTTGAAGTTTTCGACGGCAGGGTCTGTTTTTAAGCTGCCTGCGGTAGATATGAACCCAAGAAATGAGGAATTAAAGACTGCAATTACCATGATGTCCGGCCATGATGAAAGTGAGAGATGATTTGTCCTTGTTTATGTATATCATATTTTCTTGCTCTTTACTTCCATCTTCTCAAAATGGACTACAACGATAATCGAGAATGGGACAGAGGGAAAATTCCTGACACGCCTTGGTATCCACCCGATTCTCGTCAGAGCTATCATCCCAGAGAGGATGATCACAATGCTCAAGGGAAACGCAGGAAATTCAACGACGGAGTATGTGTTTGTCATATCTACTGTAGTTCACACTAAGCACTCTAGAATAGGGATACCAGGGCTATGATGGCCCCCAGGCTCATGAAGATTACAAGTATGATGCAAACTACACCCGTCAAGGTCCAGGATTTCCGCAAGACCAGTCGGGACGTGGCGGTGGCCCCGGTCATCCCAAGAAGCGGTTGCAGCCTTCAGAACCCAGTCCTCATGTTATATTTCTTGGTCTTGACCCCGACTTCACAGAGTCTGATGTCTGTAACATTCATTCATTCTTGTAGCTTTGATTCTTTTGCTCACTGGCTTATGCTTCTAGTTGCAATCATATCTCAACTCTCGTGGATGCAGCGTAGAAACAGTGACGATAATCCGAGAACGATCAACAGGCAGTTGCCCATTCGTATATTCTGCTTTCCGCATGCATTGACGTTATCTCTCTGCGTCTGGATTATCAAGGTTCTTCAAAAGGTTTCGGCTTTGCGCAATTCAGCAGCTCTGAGCATGCTCGTGCTTTTGTGGACCCGTTGTTTCCTTTCGTTCAAGTCCCTCCCCCGGCTTCCCATGGTGCCACTGCGACTGCCGCTTTTTATAAAAGCCTTGAAACGGGTCTACCACATAATGGACGGAGAGTCAAGATTGACTATTCGCAAAGCGCCACCCCACACGAAAAAGGCCGATCAAGGGGAAATACCAACGACGGTACTCGGGACATTGGGAATGTTCAGGCGCCTGTCCTACTATTCAGAGGACTCGATCCACTTTCCGGACCACAAGCTATTCATCAAGCGATGAGGAATTCATCGGGAGTCGGCAAAGAAGGTGCTCAAGGCATGAAGAGAATCATCCTTATCAAGGACAAGGTTACGATGGCCAGTTTTGGTTTTGCCTTTGTGGAGTTCATAGACACACTGGTACCGTGCTTCTCATTCTAGCTTCTCATTCTGGTTTCCCAATGCTTAAGTGATTGCTATGGTTCAGTCGGCTTCTGCAGTGCTTGCAGCAACAATGTCTCCACAAATTCATCCCGCCGGGTTTCGAATATCTGATAGGCCTGTTGCCCCTTCGTTCGCTCATCCCGACTCTTTCCAACCGATTCAGGAAATTATGCTTCGAGACGAAGCCTGTCTCGTGTCGTCACTTGCTCTCGGCGGAGTGGAGGGCACTTACGTTCGCTACTGGGACGAATCTTCAATGGTCGCAGTTCTTGAATTCCAAGTTGCCACGCCCCAATCATCAACAATGCCTAATGCTAAAGATAAAAAGGAGAAGAAAAAGAAGGGTAAAATTTGTTTTCTCTGCTTTAGTCTACCGATGAGTACCTTCCTGAATACTCTGATTCAGATTCTGCTGCACGTCCTACCGCGCCTCCCATACCTTCTGCATTGCCTGTATCCGACAAGCCTGTCACGCTTAGTTTCAACAAGGGCCCCTTCAAAACCAGCATAAGTATGTGACTTTGATGTCTAGGATATGAATACATTTTCATCACAATCTCAGGCTTGAGTCCAGCCGTGAAACCTCTGTCTTTGGGTTTTTCCGCTGATGATCTCGAAGAGAACGACGATAAAGAAGATAACTCAGGAATTGGCATCAAAGGTAATCCCTTTATTTGTTCACCTGCCTCGAAGTTTCAACAGTTAAATTTTAGTGAATAACTCAAAAGGCGTTGCCTCTCATATGGCAAGTAAGAAGGTAAGTTAAAGGACCAGCTTGTGAACCGAAGCAGAATCATCTCTACCCGTTCGCTCATGATCTGCATTATCCGTAGACCATCAACAATATCAACAAGTGGAATCAAGTTCAAGAGGAACTTTCGAGCAGTACTAAAACAAATTCCCCTACACTGGTGGCTACCCCTATCTGGCTATTCTCTCGGTGCAATGATTAAACTGCAACATTCCTTGCGATAACAGGTAGCTCCCACTGAAACACCAACGGTAACTTCGGCAAATGCGTCTGCGCCAGCGGGCCCTCCGCTAGCAGAGGACGCGTTCGAATTTGCGGACATGAATTCATTTGCATGTCTGCTTTGCTCCCGACAATTCAAATCTGTTGACCAACTCAAGCGGCACAACAAGGAATCTGATCTTCATAAGGCTCGCTCTCTTATTCACAGTTCTTTGGTCGTGATCGTGACTTACGTTTATCATTGAAATGCTGGTTATGCTTTCACTCCTTCAACAGAAAAACTACGAAGATGTCGACCTGCGAGATCTGGCGCGG